CAGCTCAAGGCTAGCACTCTACCACTTGAGCCACAGTGCCACTTCTGGCTTTTTCTGCTTATGTGGTGCTGAGGAATTGAACCCAGGGCCTCATGCCTGCAAGGCAAGCACTCTACCACGGAGTCACCTTCCCAGCACCCCCTCCCCCTTTTATTAAAGTGTGTATTCTAAAGTGTGTAAACTAAGGAATTTCACTATGGTGTTCAAGATGTGCATGCATTATGTTGTACTCAGAATTATCCTCTCTATAGCTTTTCCTCCTAATCAACTACTGACAGCTTTCACTGACCTCTACTTATAAGTCATATTTCTCTTTGAAGCTATCTTTAACAACAAACAACACTGTATTTTTTGTACTTGTAAAATATTTTTAATAATTGAAATACCCATGCATAAAGTGTTTTGACTAAATTGTTATGTCCATCAACGGGCTGACTTTGAACCACGATCCTGCAGGTCTCAGCTACTAAGTAGCTAGGATTAGACATGAGCCACTGGCATCCAGCTTGCTCTGCTTTTATGTCTCTGGCCAAATAGCTAGAATTGCAATCACAAGTCACAGTACATTGTACCATTCATTTTACTAGTATATATCTTTTGATGATCAGAAGTTTTCATTTTGATGAAAACGAATCTATTTTTCTTTTGTGATTGATGCCTTCTGTGTCTTGGAAGTCTTAACACTTAACCAAGATTGAACTTAATGTTCTCTTCCTTTTCTGCATTGATACTGTAGAAATTAATTTTTTTTTTTAGGTCCAAGATGGGGACTCAAACTTGGTACCTGACACTTTCACTTGCTGGCTAGTGCTCTGCCAACTGAGCCAAGCCTCCAACCTCAGAAGTTATTTTTTGATCAGAGGTGTTTCATTTCAATAATTTTTGGCAGGACAATAGCTATAATTGATAGCTACAATTTTGAAATATAAACTTAGCTATATGGATCATACCTGTAATTCCAGTTACTTGAGAGACAAGAGATCGGGAAAGACTAGGGTCCCTCCCCTCCCCCCAAAACCTGAACGTGGTAGTTGTGTGTTCCTAGCATCCCAGCTTCCCAGTACATGTAAGGCCTTGAAATACAGGTCAGGCGTGGCAAAACTATGAGACCCTGTCTCAAAAATGAAAAAAGCAAAGATAGTGGTAGGTATGACTCAAACCTGTACAAAGTAATATATGCAATAAAACTGCATACAGACCTTTCTTTTGTCTGAGTTTGTGAGATTCAGCAGATGCAGGAAGGTGACTTTTCTGAAATGAAAGACATCATTTGTGTTAAAACACCATGTACTTTGTTAGCTTGGGCACATTCCAATAAGAATGTTTAGTTCACAACTCATGTAATTAACACAGTCTGACAAAAAAAGGCTTGATATCATATACAAACTGTATAGCCCTCAGTGCTAAGAGGGAGATGCTATACCCATCTTATACTGTAACTCAGTAGAAAAACTTTAAAAGGACTTTTCTCAAAAGTTCCTCCTGTTCTTGGCTTCCTAAATACTAGGATTACAGGTATAAGACCCTAACACTTAAGAAGTTTTGAGTCTTTCCACCTTCTCCTCCACATCTATGCATCTGTACCTACATATATGTGTGTATATGTATGTTTACATATACACACATATGTGTATGCTTTTTTGTGTTCCAAAATTAAGACCACATAATAAATTCCAACTCCACAGGTAGCTACTATTTAGATGTACTGAATAGAAATCTCTTGAAGTCAATACCTTAAATATACGGTTGGAACACTTTTTAATACCTGCATAATATTCCACCATATGGAACTTTCAGAGTTCTATTAATGGACTTTTACTTTTATCTCCAGCTTTTTTTTGCCATTAGAAAGAGTACTGTAGGGACTGGGGGTTTAGCCCAGCAGAAGGGCGCCCGCCTGCCCCGCGCAAGGCCCCGGGTTTGGTTCTCAGCCCTGGTTTAAAAAAAAAAAAAAGACACATAGAAAGAGTACTGTAATGGATACCATTTTGCTTAAGACTTCACTTTGTGTGTGTGTGTGGGAAGCTAGTCGTACGACTTGAACTCAGGGCCTGCTCAAGGCTAGCACCCTACCACTTGTGAGCCTCAGCCCCACTTTCAGCTTTTTCTGTTTATGTGGTACTGTAGAATCAAACCCAGGGCTTTGTGCATGCTAGGCAAGCACTCTACCACTTAGCCATATTTCTAGCCCTGGGCTGGGTTATTTTTCAAGATAGGGTCTAGTTTCATGCGTAGGCAGCAATCATCCTATGGCTGTGATTCTCCTATTGTACAAGGTTGAACCAGGGAGTTACAAGTTATCATGTCCATCTAAGTGTCTAGTGCTTCTTGATCAGTCACCGCCTCCATCATCCTCACAATTTTAACACTGCTTTGGGCTTTGTGTTCATAGCTTCCAGATTACACTAAAATAACGTGATCACTCTTCAAGTGCAAGAATAAGAGCCAGACACTGGTTGCTCACACCTGAAATTCTAGCTACTCAGGAGGCTAAGACCTGGAGGATCACAGTTCTAAAACCAGCCAAAGAATATGAAAGTCCATGAGACACCCTCTGCCCCATCTCCAATTAAACAGCAAAATGCTAGACTGGAAATGTGGCTCAAGAGGTAGGGTGGGAGCTGGGAATGTGGCTCAGTGGCAGAGTGCTTGCCTAGCATGCATGAAGCCCTGGGTTCGATTCCTCAGTACCACATACACAGAAAAAGCCAGAAGGGGCGCTGTGGCTCAACTGGTAGAGTGCTAGTCTTGAGCAAAACAAGCGCAGGGACAGCGCCTATCCTTGAGTTCAAACCCAGGACTAGAAGGAAAAAAAGAAAAGAGATGGTGTGCCAGGTCATGAGCAAGAAAGCCAAGTGAGAGTGAGAGGCACTGAGTTCAAGCCCCAGTACTGGTGCAGGCACACACAGATACACATAGGCAGGGATGGACAAACAAACAGACACACACATGGACACAATCAGACAAGGCAATTAAGCCACCTTATCAGTCAATATTGGCTTCAGGGGCTGGGAAGGTGACTCAGTAGTAGAGCGCTTGCCTTGCATGCTAGGTTTGATTCCTCAGCACCACATAAGCAAAAAGAAAAAAGCCAGAAGTGGCGCTGTGGCTCAAGTGGTAGAGCGCTAGCCTTGAGCTGAAGAGCTGAGGG